ATTATTTTGTAAAGCACTAAATCAGTTGTTATGTTCATGGGCAGTGAGTAGATCAGTTACTCAGTGCTTCAGTATGTGTCTTGAAGTTGGTGCAACTCTTAAATGCAATTTTTGGGTACTCTACCCACCTCTGCTGTGGTGTTACAAGATGGAATATCTTGTGTTCGTGAACTTTTCGCGAGAATTCAGCTTGCAGGTGAGGTTAGTTCCAGGCGACTTTGATATCTCAGAACCCTGCAACCCCAGCTTCTGAGTTCAAATAGAGCAAACATTATAAAGTCTGTTACATGTCTCCCTTAAAGGAAGTACAAAAAAAAATAGCCATTTTCTCAGAGGACCAGATGTTCTTCCATGTCCAGATGGCTTCAAAAGAATTAGATTTTTGTCATCACAGAATCGGACAACTTTGCTTTGAGCAACTTTTGCTTCATGACATACTTTTCTCTATTCTGATCTTACTGAAACTAAACTAAACATTTTAAACTATAGTTTAAAATGGAAAATATACATTTCATACCTTTTTTTATTTATGATAAATCTTCTTCAGGTTTGTCGACTCAGTGTTTTCTGTTAACAAACTAAGTACACTAGAAGTTCAGATGGTTAATAAATATAATCTAAACAATAAAAGCCAAAGAGACCAAATGAAACCAATGAGTATTAAAGCTACCTTATTTAAAGCGAATATGCTCTGAAATGCTTTATAATGCAAAAGGAATTTCAAAACATTTTCTTTGCCCTAATGTTATGGTGTTTTCTGTCTAGATCACTGCTACCAACTTGCTGCGCCTCCTGCAATAAATATTGTAATAAACAGGAAAAATAACTTTTTTCCCCCCTTTTTTCATTTCGATTTACCGCCCATGCCTAACTTCTTTGGCTAAAAAAAAGTCCTCTCAACAGATTGTTCTAGTTCCCCCCGATATAGAGAATACTGGCCTTTTGGCTTTTTCCTCATCAAAGCTGTCCCTATCGGGCATGTTAAATGGATCTGCTTACATTTCTTTGATGTTGGTTTGAGACTGTGAAAAGCATTATTGTTTATTCTATGGCCAAAGACCCCAATTCTCTGAAAGACCCCAGTTATTTACCTCTTGCGGTATTCTAGACAAACCAAATTCGCATTTACACTTATTTAAATAAAAACTCAGCTAAAATAGCAAAGATAAGCATGGAAAGCAAGAGTTCCTGTATGTGTGTAAACCATGGTAAAATAAAATAAAAAAAGGGTTCTCAGTAGGGCTGTAACAATTAATTGAATTTATCGTGAATAATCGATTATTGAAATAATCGTTAATTAATTTAGTAATCGATTCTTTGTTAACTTGAATATAGAGACTGTAAAATATGCTTTTTGCTGACAGAGCAACCCTCTTAGAGCAGAAAATATATCTAATTTAAAAAAAAATGCATTGAAGATAAAACACATTTTATTCTCCTGCCAATATTCTTTACCCAAAACCCCTCAAGTGGAAAAGTTTTAGTTTCACCGGGCTTAATTTTGTTTAAAAAAAAAAAGATATTTTTTAAGGAACATTTGGCTATGCAATTATTAATCGGTTAATCTTAAAAATAATCGACAGATTAATCGATTTGCAAAATAATCGTTACAGCCGTGGTTCATTGATTAAACTATTAATTTGTATCAATTGCTTTCATAGACATTTTTGCCTCCAGAGCAGCTTCAGTACACTGGTACATTTGATTTTTTTTTTTAAAACATGCTTTACACCCCGCTTTATTTTGGTGATGGCGGAAGGAAGTGAAGCTTTTTGAAAATAAATTAGCTTGGCTTTGCTTTTAGATTAATACAGGCTTTCCATCTGCTAACACAATCAGAAAATGTGTTGTGTTATCGCATTCTGCCAGTTATGAAAAACACATGTTTTTCTGTAAATGGTCAATTTGTTTTTCAATATTAATTTGACATGTGGAGTTTTACTTAAATAATGAGAGGAAAACCTAAACCAGAATATGCCTTAATCCTTTCTGCCATGAAGAAACTTTGGGTTGCCCCACAGCAAGATGGGGAATTTCACTGAGAGGGTTTCCCTCCTAGATCTTTTCCTTTTAGACTTGCTACCTCTGTGACCCGAAATGAGATTAAGACTGACTACAGAGGATGGATGAAAGCTCATCTACTGCCTCTCTAGTTGTCATATGATTTTAGGGTCACCATACCAACAGTTTTTGGCCTGGCAGCTGATTTAAACTCCTCTGGGGTGTAGTGAAGCAAGCGTCCGTCAAAATCTCCTGGCCCATAAGGCCAGCTTTAATGTGCTGACAGAGCTTTACTTTGAACACAGTAATCACCCAGAGTGCAGTCACTCAGAATCCCTCATATTTTCAAAATTTAACAAGACCACATAAGAAATGTGAAAAGCAGTAAAGCTGAAGAAAGTTTTCATGTTTGCTCACTGATATGGAAACGACACAATTAAAGTTAATGTTTGTCCCATAATTACTTACTGGCATATTTTTAACTAGTGTATATAAACTGCTGTCAATAACCATTTTTCAGTAAAGCTAGCCAATGAAGAAATAGATTTTGTACTATTATCACATTAGAGACTGGGTAAATCCTGAGTGGATCCAAGCATTATTTTTCCTTAAAATTAAATGGTTTAGATACATATACAAAAGTTGAATAGGTCTAGGTGATCTATGGCATTAACCTTTTTTTTGTTTTTGACAAATACCTTTAAACTGCGTTATGTACAGCCATTCAAAATGGCCCTTCCCAGTCAAACTCCAGCCAAATGTTAGCCCACTTCCCTGCAACTCCTAGCAAAATCCCCCTTCTCCTGGGTGTGCATATTTTTTCAGTGAAAAAATAATAATTCAGTGAAAGGGCTCCACCCTTTCACTGAATTACAGGGTCTGACCAGGAGAAGGTTCTTCTCTTTAGATTTTAATGTCCACAAAATCATGACAGAAAAAATATTTAAGTAGAAATGTTGATGTTTAAAAAGGAATTGTAGGGGATCAGCCAAGTACTGTCATGAAAGGTCTATGGACTTAACCCACATGCAGAAACACCACCGGAAGCAAAGTAAAAGTTTAACAGAGTTTATTGAAAAACACACAGAGTGATTATGAACTTGTTCTGGTGCAGGTCCGGGACTGGAATCTGCAGAGATGGATAGTTTGATTAGCCAGGCAGCGAGATGGCTTGTCGAGTGTGTTAATTCAGAATGTACCTAGATGAGGTTCTGGCAGATCCTTTGAGAGAGGGTGGGAACCGGTTGGGTCCAAGGACTGTAGATTCAGCAGGGAGCTCAGCGGCAGCAGCGTCTAGCTTCTGACTCATGAGTTTCAGACCTTGACTTGGTTTCCTAGCTCTTCCTTGAGAGCTGTTGGGGAAATCCAGACTGATGTCTAAATCCATCTTATTTGTGAAAGCTTCAGAGCTTTGCAGAAAACATAAAGCAAAATGCATCATGATGACCAAGGAACAGAGATCATATGGAAGGGATAAGGTTTCTTTTTTTGAAGTTTTAAGAAGTATGGGGTTATATTACACTATTCCAATTTTAGAAAATTACTGAGTGAGAAAAACTTTAAATCTGAGAAAAAACTAAAGAGAATCTGTGGACCAGACAACCTTTACTATTATTATTAATAAATCTTCCTACAGTATATGAAAGAGTGGAGAGAATGATGCTATTGTTGAAACCCCTCCAAAAATCATTTGCATTGCATTTAGCCATAAAATCAAGTGGGTGTCACACCAAATATGTGGAGGACGCTGCTCCTGTCAGATGACAGTGAATGTTTCCTTTTGGATCTGCTATTAATAGTGAAAAAAAATGCAGTCTGAAAACACACTTACCACCAATTAAACATGGCGGTGGCAGCATTACTTCATTGAGATTGTTTTCTCCAGTAGGCACAATGAAGCTGGTTTGGGCTGTTTAAAAAAAAAAGATGGTTGAAACTAAATATAGCAAAAATCTGGACAAAAAGGACAGAATTAACAACATAAGAAAATGTTTGGGATGGGGAGGAGATCCCTCAGTTCTAAAGACCTTCTGCTGCTCCTCCATACTGGAAGCAGCCAGTTGAGGTCACTCAGAAGCTATGTCTTGGCCACCTCCTTTTGTATTTTTTTCGACACATAACAGGCTGGAGGGGCTATACTGAAATCAGTGGTGGCTACTCTCTGAAACAGGGGAGCCTCCGTGATGTTAATTAAATCCGAACATACCTTATTGCATTAACAAATATTTAAACACATAAAACACATTACTGCAACGGGGGAAAATTGCTGTTGTGAACCATGGCAAGAGTTCAACATACGATGACTTTTCTGACTGAATTAATACGTTTTCCTCTCGACTCATGAGGAAAACCTTCTCGTTGCCTGGCCGCAGCATCGAGCACCGAGCTTCATGACCTGCCCCTGCTCCATAGACTGTCTCAGAGGTTTAGCGTCACCTGAAGTGACTTATTACCTGTTATCCAATCAGGGCCCTACTTTCTTGCTCCTTACTTCAATAGGCCAAAGCTCAAACCTCAAAAGGGATTTCTCATAGACCCTCCCTAGTACTCAATCAGAAATCACCACTGATTGAAACCCCTTTTTTCCTGTTACATCCTTGGGATCTTGCAGAATGAACTGCAGAGTTTCCCTGAGGAGACTAATATAGGCAGAAGGAAATGGAACAATAATAGATTTGTCACAGATTATTCTTCAAATGACAACAACAGTAAAATTTGGATGATAAAAAAATGTTATTGTTTAAAATTAACACTGTGGGTTGTAAGTGTTACCGTAAGTTAAAATTTGGAGAAATGGAAACTTTAAACATAAGTTCTTACTTGAATTAATGGAGTTTTAAATACCAGGATTAGTAAAAACACACTCTTAACTTTCAAACTGGTTGAACAAGTATCTTTGCAATGTAAGCTCTGGGTATGCATACCTTTTCCATTATTGCCTTTTCACCTCCTCCTCTCATCACTTTCATCACCCATCTCTTTTGTCTCTCCGCCCATAGGATCGTGGAGTTATTTCCAGCAGTGCCTATCGACCATCATTGGGGAATTGTCTCCAAGTGTCTAGCATACAGCAAAGCAGCCTTTGACCCCTTTGTGTATTCCCTGCTGAGGCATCAGTACAAAAAGACATGCACGGACATCATCAATAGGCTGCTAAAACGGAGTTCGCTAAATACGTCTGGACGCCGGCCGGAGCAACAGGGCAACAGCATACCCACAGCTGAGTAAATGAGGTTGCATGGCAGCACAGATGGAAATACCAGCCTGATTCATTGCTGATGAAGATGAGGAACGATATTGCTGTTTCATGTCCATGCCTGCTTAAATTTGGTCCGACATGATAAAAAAGCAAGGTAAATAAAAAATAACAAATCATCCATGGCAAAGGCAAACCTCACTCAGGAGTACCAGTGAGTGCCCAGAGCTGCAGATCAGCACGGTGATCTTGCTGTGAGGACAATAAACTGCAGATTTTCTATTTACCTGAAATGACAGATGTGTTCGTACAGGAAGTACTGTCAGTTTTAAGAATTATTATTACATCTAAGGTAGGATTCCACTCATGTACAGTTATAAAGTGACTTTGTTGTATATTTCCTTTAATATATATATTTTGAAAAAAGTAGTTGGATGTCAATGTAAGGTGCTGAAAGTGACAAAATTATAAACTATTTGAGTAAGTATGTAGCACTGTAGTTAATATTATACTTTTCTCAGAAGTATTCTTGTTGAAAACAAACACAACAGAAAACATAGCTGCTCTGCTAGTAGACTCAGGAATATTGGCCTAATGGTGGAAATTTTAGAAAAATCTGGCACTTTTTTGTCCTTTTTCAGTTTATTTTGTTTACTGTTTCACATTTTTCTGAAGGTCATTCTACCTTTTTTTTTTTTTCAGTGGTTTTCTGTGAATGCCTCGGTGAGTCGGCCAAACTGAAGTTTGTTACCGTATATGAAACGTGTCTTTCTTACAAAATCTGGTTATTTTTTAAAACCTTTTTTAATCTATTTGTCTGCATCCATTTTTGATCCCTGAATACTAACCTAAAATTGATTAAAAAACTTTATTTAAATAAATTTAAATTACCTGCCCAAAAGAAGGTAAATGCCTGTTAGACTAAAGTGAATAGCTTTAAAACAGAAAGCATCCATGCTGTAACCAAAAGCCAGAGTCAAACGAATACCAGCAAACATGTAATCTCCAAATGACAGTCTCTGTGGCTTTTAGGTTTAAGTTTTCATTTTGTTCTACATCTGTAAACACGTTTTGCAAGTCTCTTAGCTAACTGGTCAAACTGAATTTCTTGAGGCATTATTGTGCAAATGTGTGCATGAATGGATGAATTACTAAATGTTGATAAAGCGCTTTGGGGTCTTTGGACTTGATATATATACAAGCAGAGGTCACTTACCATTTTATCATTATTACACCAGAGGCTTTTATGTTTACTGTAACTGTCATACTTTTTCAATTGCTTTTCTTAGTTTTGAACATCAGCTGTCTTGCACACATTTGTGCTAACAGTGGATTAACATTAACCTAGTAAAAGTAAAAAGCATATAAGATTAGTTCTTTTTTTTTGGACTCAACATAAGGAAAATAGTCCCAATAAATTTAAATAGTTGAGGCCCAGATCAAAGGGCAGCTCAGTTGGGGAGTGGGTAGAACTGCTGCCTAGCAGCAACAAGGTTCCGGGTTCGATTCCTGGCGGAGTTTGCATGTTCTCCCTGTGCATGCGTGGGTTCTCTCCAGGGACTCACGCTTCCTCCCACAGTCCAAAAACATGACTTTTAGGTTAATTGGCATCTCTTAATTCTCCTTAGGTCTAGGTGTGTGAGTGGTTGTTTGACCTGTTTGTCTCTGTGTTGCCCTGCAACAGACTGGCGACCTGTCCAGGTTGTACCCCGCCTCTGCCAAATGACACCTGGAGATAGGCACCAGCACCCAGGAAGGGATAAGTGTGATTGAAAATGGATGGAGACCAAAATCAGTAAAATTCATTGGAATATATCTAGATCACCATTTTAAAAAGCCAGATTGTCTCTCAGACATGATCCAGAATTAATGAAATTGGTGACAGATAATCATATGATGACGCCCTTATGATGATTTATGTTTCTGTGATCAAGTGAAACACAGTACCTCACACCATCTATCTAAAGTTGATAGCTTCTATTGTTGATATACCCTGGTCCCTTAGTAAGACTGGGATACTCTAGGGTTCATCATTATCTGCTGTATGGAAGCAATGCATATTAAGGAAGGAGTTAAAAAGAAGGAAGATATTTCAGGATAATGGTATCTGAGGAGCTTATACAGGTGCAGAACAACATAACGTTAAGCTAAATAAAAGTGGCTCCACCAGTTCTAGTTGTCTGTTTTATTAAAGGCATTTGGGGCACAATATTTATGAAAAGCTATGTATTTCACAAATCTTGCACTAAGTAATCCATCTCTTGCACATCTTTTGACCCCTAGGAAGTGCATGGTGGTATATTTATCTGCACAGTCACCTAATCTCTCTGCATTTTCCTTTATCTGCTTATTTTGCTGTGTGCAGGTTTTTTTGCACAGAGGCTGTGTAAGTGTGAGAACAACTAAAGAGAACGATTTAATGAACCAACTACTCTCAGTTTCATCTGCAGTTTTTTTTCTGTCATACATGTCTATACTTAAACATAATTAGTAAAACTAACTCATAGTTAGTTTGAAGTCCCCTTTGAAAAGTATCCTAGTTTCCGCTGTGTTAAACACATGAAAGCATACGATAAACCCAAATCACATATAAAAGGACTGAAAATATGTAAACATCTCAAATGCCGTGCGATCCTATTGGAAAACTTGAACAGGTGCAAAAATATTCAGATTCCTGGAATCTCTTTAGATTTATTTACATTGGTGAATTGGAAGAAACACAATACAGTAAGTTTTACCTCTTTTAAATCTAATCATGTGAAATGTATTTAGCTCCCTGGGAGTTGAGATTCTGTATATCAACATTTTGCTGTAGCCCAAGCTGCAAGTCTTTGGGGGTATGGCTAGGAAGGGCTCGACACACAGCAGATAATGTCGCTTTCTGTCCATATATTTATTTATTTTATTTTGTATGAGTAAAACTTTTTTATGAGGTAACAGTTGCTTGATCTCCTCCAACCAAGTGACCGTGTATGGGAAAATCTAAGATCCAAATTCTAATTCATGGCTTATACATGTAGAGGTTAAAACACAGGCTTCAGACACGACACAAGAAAATAGAAAATATTTTATCTCTGTCTAACTTTCCTATATGATATGATTTAAGCCAGTTTGGGTAAAAACCTCTGGGTCTTCATCCTTGAAGCTTTGTGTGACAGACTGCTTTGAAAATATCCTATTTTATAATCATATATCATGGAGACAAGTGTCTCAATATTGCAATTATAACTGCTGCTGTCTCTGTTATATCCCCATTAATGTTTTATACTTTGGTGGCGATGATTGCCCATTGTTTGTTGTCCCCAATGCGTCTAGCTCATCCTTGTGTCAATTTAGTTTTCATCACGCTAATAATGAGTTCCTTCTTTTAGTACCCTACTTTTAAAGGTATGAAAGAGGATTTTTTCTCAGAAATTAAGAGTCCAAATTAATCTAAAATCACTTAATTGATGGCTCGCATTCTTGAACATATGGTTCCCTCCCAAAAAAATTAAAATCCAAAAATCCCAGCTGTGGTGGGGCCTAAAAACCATTAGTCACGTTGCCTAATGGTCAATTGGCTAATGGTTTGTCAATTAAACATTTTACATCTGTTATTTCCATATATTCCAAGCATAACTTATATGCTGTTTGGCTAGCGGTCCACCATTACGCCAAAGCACTTCTACGCTTGTTTCCTGGTGTTTTTTTTTCTTTTAGCTATTTGTTTACTAACAAATTGTAAATATAACTTCCAGTGACAACGCCGGCAGACATCTTCTTATGGAGATATCCTGCTGACTAGGTGATTCCTGGCAATTTGCTGCCTCCCTAAGTGAAATACAAAATTACCGGCAGAGCCATTTCAAGTAGAATACTTTTGCGAAGGAGGGGGCACTGACACATGCTCATGATTAAAAAAGCCATTGGACATATTTTCCAACACAGAATCCTATTTCCTGGCTTTAACTCAATGCAGAGTTTTCTAATGATACTGCCACCTCTAGCCAAAACACAGAACTGCAGCACTCTTCTGCTGGTTCTTGTAGCTCATGCTCAAACTTGAATAATTTTTTCTCCTGATGTGGAATTGCCATTTGTCTCTTAGTTGTGCAGGTTGCTAGTCTCTTGTGAGTAACACAAAATCCATCTTGAATGTAAAGCTTCGATTGTTTGCTAGCTTATACCCATTGAACATGGAGGCTTTTGATGTCACATTCGCAGAAACTGCGCAGGTACATCTGACCCAAAGTATTTCAGGGGAAATAGGTTAAAGGCTTAGAGATGGACTGACACTGAACTCATTTTGCCACCACCATGCTTCAATGTAAATTTGTTTTTTGTTAAGAAGACGTGCACAGTTATTTTCTGCCATTTATAGTGTAAATCAAAACATTTTTCTTTGTTGTACTTATCTAGTAGAGCACCAACCTCCATGTTTTTTTTTTGTTATCTCCATTTGCACCATGTTAAATCTTTCCTTTAACAAACAAAGGCTTTCATTTTACCTCTCTTTACCTCTCTTTCCACATAACTACTTTAATAGCTTTCCTTTTTAAAGATTCTCCCACCATAGCTTTAGATCTCTGCAGCTCCTCTGGAGCCCCAAACTGACTTTTTGACTCAAGTACTGTATAAATACTTTTGTAAAGCATCACAATTGCCAAAATCCCAGCCTGAGTCAAGAAGAGAAAGGCCACAGCAGTTAATTTGCAAATTACAGTAGATAACTCTTAAATAACATTAATATATATATATATATATATATATATATATATATATATATATATATATATATATATATATATATATATATATATATATATATATATATATATATATATATATATATATATATATATATATATAAAGATGTATATATATGTATATATATATATATATATATGTATATATATATATATATATATATATATATATATATATACATATATATATATTTATATATATATATGTATATATATATATATATATATATATATATATATATATATATATATATATATTTCTGACATGCCTCAGATATTTAAACAATATAACAATAGGAATATACATATTTTTATTAACTTTGTTTCTTTTCATTAGTTGGATGTAAAGTTGTGTGTAATTTAATATATAGTACATGCTGACCAGTTTGATTCCTCAAATATCTGTAAGTGAATATCCAAGAGGTAACACTATTTGGCTTTGCAAATATACGGATCCTGCAGTCTGGTTTTTAGTGGTGTGATTCAATGCTTCGATGTTCAAACAAGCATTTGATTTTTGTTTTTTTATTACAATAATCTTATTTAAAGGTTCCTTTTGTGTTAAAAAATTCTCCCTCTTTACGTTTAAATGTATGCTTCCCAACTAAATGGAATTCCGTGATAGATTCCACAAACCATGGATGTCTTTATTATATTTTGTAATCAGGAAAACAATGATAATATTAACTTTTTAACCTGAATGAATATTATCTATTTTGTGATTATTGATTAAGGGCCTTGGCTTCTTCCATTGCCTATCAAAGTTTCCTGGTTATGTCAAGGACTCCTATGTCAGTGTGTGAGTCCTCTTAACCTCTTAACCTTAACCTGTCTTTCTCTCTGATTCAGGAAAGAAGCATCTTGCTAATTTAAACAATATAACAGATTATTATAGATACAGTGCCTTGGAAAATATGTTCCTTCTTAAACCTATCAGCATTTTCAGAAGATACCAACACTAACCTATTTTCTGTATATTCTAGTGGAATTTTAAGTGATGGAACTAAAAAGTAGAAATGGATGATGCACATAAAATAAAAAAAAGCTTTTGTTTATCAGACATATATATTTAGACCCCTTTGAAGCTATAAAGCCCCACAGAGAATCCAGTAAAGTCTTTCCATTGGGTAATGGAGTGAAAAGTTTAGTCTCAGTAACTGTTGAGAGAAAACTGTAAGATATCCTGTATGAAGTTTGCAGGAAGCCTTGCAGGGAGCACCATAAAGATGTGGGAGAAGCCGCCAAAATTTGGACGAATAAAGGGAGAATTTTGAGAGAAAATGGGCTACCGACAACTACGTAATCACCCAGAACATTTGGCACCGTGAAGCATGGTGATGGCAGCAGCATGTTGAGGGCATTATTTTTTTAGCTGTCATAGGAAGCTGTGCAGAGTTGAGGGAAAGATGGGTGGAGCTAAATACAGGGGAATCCTTAAATCCTGGTATGCGAGTATGCCAGACTTTTAGCAGAATGTGCTAGATGTGTTAGACTGACCTTACCTAAACCCAGCCCCAAATCAATATGAAAACATGAATAAAAATGTTAAAATTATTGAGTTTTTTTGTTACCTGTAGATTTTAGATATTTGGTTATGAAACGGGAGTTCCACGACACACTGCTCCGTTGTGTTGATTTATCATATGCAAACTGACAACCTTGGTTGGCCCTGGGGCAAGATGACTGGATATAGCCCCCTACTAATGACATTCATTATTCTTTACCCAGCCAATCCCCCACAACCACCACACGAAAATCTATTAAATGTCATTATTATATATCCAAATTAGTCTTGAATGATACATTAATGTATTAATTAAATGGATAATCTAATAAAAATTCTAATCCAATATTTGGTCATATTCAGCTTTATAATATGAAGTTTTAAATATACTTTTTGGCTTCCTCTGCTAGAGAACATCAGCTACACATCACAAATCAGACTTACTGTGATTGACTTTCCTGTAACAAGAATCAATTTAATTATATTAAAAAAAAAAGATTGCATTCCTCTTGAGCTACATTATTATTTTCACATTTACAAATAGAGATGAACTTGATTTTTAATTTATTAAATTTGTGGCACTCTTGGCCTACCATACTTGCTGTAGTGGCAATTGTTCTTATTTGTAGACTTCTGCTTGTGTGACATGTTTAAATCTTAACACAAATCCCATGGTCAAAATTTTAGTGAAACAATTCTTCATTAGTACAGAAGATGAAATGTTGCTAATGGTATTGCTATTAATCAGTGATTCAAATATCAATCCAAGACTTTACTTTCTAAGTTTGGATATTTGTTTTAAAACTGAATTATTAAACACTGATGCTCTTCTTTGCAATTAAAGACAGGCCATGCCTTAACTCCTTTAAATGTGTTGAACCTTACATTTATTTTAACAAATGGGTATTTGTTCTGCGTTGCAAAGGAGAGTAAATAACTGCCTTATTTATTTCCCTGTATTTTGTGACATTTGCCTTGTATTTATGTGTAAACATACAATAACTGTCTTTATTTTAAAGGAGTTAAATATCCTATTTGTTAAAAGACTGAGATTGATAAAAGTATTTTTGAGTCTTTGATTTCTTTACTTGTTATTATTGGTGGACGTTTTACACAAAGTGCTGTTTCAATTGTAAATGAGATTTTAGTTCATGCATATTGTGTAATATACCTCAATTTGTTTGTTGGTGACTCACTGGACCGTTCATTGGACTTCTTTATTTATTAAAAATCTGCTAAATGCTGCTAAACATGAAAAATGCTAACAATAGTATTTATTTGGAAATAAGGGATATTTTTTGTTGATTGTGTTTGCTTTTCTGATAAAAAAATGAGAACTGCTGCTAGGAGGTACAATAACGCTTTTTATCTATCTTGATTAAAATTTAATAAAAAACTGAGAGATAATTCATAAAGTAAAATAAAAACCATAGCATTAGCTTCTTTTTCTTCTTTTTTCACATTAAAAGGTGAAGATAAAGATTTTCTTTGCTTGTTCTAGCCGCTCAAAGTGGAAAAACATAATTTAACACGGGGTGCACATGTGCACATACATTAGCTTGCCCCTTTCAACATTAATTTATCCTTACAAACATTAACATGCATGTCGACCTGATTGTCAATGTATATAAATCACTCTCTCAGTCAGATTAAAATTTCAATTCAGTATATGTATATAGTGCCAATTCACAACACATATCATCTCAAGGCACTATACAATTCTACCAGATCATACAGTCAAATTGATTCTAAGTTTTCCATCTAAGGAAAACCAGTTGATTGCATCGACTCATTGACTCGAAGGCAATCTTTCACACTAAGGAATGCCCATAGCGACAGTGGAGAGGAATTTCACCATAATCTGGCTGAATCCAATGAGAATATTCTACTTGACAGGTTTACATGATTCATTTTTAGTCCGATTACTTATGTACATGTAAACGCAGCTTCTATTTTTAGACATTTTTGGCAAAGATAATAAGAACATTTAAAATTATTCTTGTCATTCTCTTAATAAAAATCCTTATGCATTTATATTAACTGACCTAAAATTGTACATTCTTAAGCTGGTTTGACAGAAGTGCCTCATTT